ATAGCTACTGCGGTACATTTGTACTTCCACACAAATGAATCACGGGGTGCCATGTACATACACAGGGCAAATGCATATCAACATGTCTTTACATGAATAATAATTTTACTGGGCACGGTTGTGGACTACGACAGAGTGTGAATGGGAAACGTGAATAAAAACCCTTCATGTATATATAACAAACCAGTATTCCAACAACTTCGTCATCAGTCACACCCTTGTGTATACCAAAAAATGAAGGAAGCTACCTAATAATGCACTTTTGTCAGGTTGCCTTAAAAAAATACCCCAAGTCAAGATTGAAGGAAATTCTAATGCTCTAACACAGAGGTGCTTCTTTGTATTATATATACGGAGCAATTAAGAAAATACATCGCACAGAAAGGACTTCAATTTCTTCCTATTTTGGTAGAAGAATGTAGGAAACGAAAATTCTTTCCTCAGTGACTTATTAACCTAATGAAGTAAACTGTATATAGCACATATACAGGATTGGTCTTCCTCCGTATCAAATTATGTGAAACTTTGCTTAATTAGCATTTTACACATTTCTTCTCTGGCGGTCATCACCATATTATTATTATGCAGAAACCCAATGGGAAATGTGAATAAAGACCCTTCATGTATAACAAACCAGCATTCCAACAACTTCATCATCAGTCACACCCTTGTGTATACAAAAAAATGAAGGAAGCTACCTAATAATGCACTTTTGTCAATTCAAAAAATACCCTAAAGTCAAGATTGAAGGAAACTGTAATGCTCTAACACAGAGGTGCTTCTTTGTCTAAGAGAATACATCGCACAGAAAGGGCTTCGATTTCTTCCCGCTCCGTTTGACAGCAGCACGGTCTATCGCTACAACGCCATCAACGGAGAAGGGGCAGAGTTACCTAATATAGCCTCTATCAAAACTCTGCCGCAGTCACCATAGGCGGTAGAGTAATACTGATCGGAGGAGCGAGTGAGGGTCATGACACTAACAAAGTATTGACCTTGCACTACAGTGGGGGATGGGTGGACGAGTACCCTCCTATGAACAACGAACACTCACAATGTGCAGCAATCTGCGTCAGAACAAATGGAAACACGTGGTTGTGATCGGCGGGAAATCCGAACACGGTTCTCACATGTATGACGTTCAATTTCTCAACACTGCCACAAAGTCCTGGTATTCTCTAACCCCTCTACCGCAATCTCCCCACATTCCTTCTGCTACTCTATGTGGAAATACACTCTATGTGATTGGAAACATTGGCAAGGCGGACTCTTCCTCCATCCAAAGTCTAACCTGTTATAATGATGACGAATCTAATCCGCCACCTGCTAGCCTAGTTTGGAAGGCCCTCCCTCCTCCCCCAGTGACTCATTCTGCTATTGCATCACTCCGTGGACAGCTAGTGTTGATAGGAGGCTGCAGAACTGCCGGTGCCAGTGTCAGCTCTGCAATGATGTACCAGCTGGTGTTAGCTCTGCAATATACCAGCTGGTGGGAGGAGTTGAGTGGATTGAGATTGGATGTACACTTGTTCCCAGGAGAGGGAGCATGACTGTTTGTCCATCACCGACAAGATAATCGTACTGGGAGGCGTAGGGGCCGGAAAAACCGTTGAACTGTGTAATGCTGACTAACTCGTTCATTAGCGGATGACACTCCTTCATATTGTGTGATTTGCAGAAACCTTTTGCTGGCGAATGCTACATATCGTGTATTGTTAATTCCATAGTCATGATGCCCTTGCTACTGCTCCCCCGGATAGCAGAAACATCCAGACAACAGACACTCTGCGTGCATCAAACAAAAGTGCATTGAGGTCCTCTTTATGAATGGCACCAACTATGTGTGAACGCCTTAAGATGAAAAGTGGAAAAAATATAATAGGCTTCGGGTAAATAAGGATGTGATACCAAACCATAACGGGGGATTCATCTCGTAAACTTATTGTAGTTGATAAATTATTTAGCTAAACTCGAGCCGTTCATTTTGTAGTTCGGCACGCAAAGCCTTCTTTCGGGCGGCTGCGGGGACGCACCGAGCCCTATATACCACGGACGCTTCTTTCCGCGCACCGAGGTATGCTAATCTTGGGAAGAATCTGAACCGTACATAGCCTCACATTAGATACCATTAGCTATGGTGTTTGTGTGGATGCTGAATTAGAAGATGAATGCGTAACAAACCACGATGAGGATTACTGCAGTGACACTATCTAAGAGTATAGCTGCTGGGCAACAGACAGAATCTCGAGAAAATATCGGTGAGGTAGCTGTGGGGCTGCACTGTGTGCAGTGCGTGTGCTATAAAAGCAGCGACACAGTTATTCCCGCATTCACGAGAGCTATTTTCTCTTGTTCGTGACCACATCAGAACCAATGGCCCGCCGCATTGCCTCCATCGCTGTGCTGCTGTGTGCGGCACAAGCGACGCTGTGTCAGACATTTGACTGCGCCTCAGAGTCAGGCGAATTAGCTTTCCTGCAGAATGGCGCCGAGAGGGACCCGGCCTGCTACAATCCCATCATCAGCCTGTTAGTGAATGACATATATCCAACTCCCGCTCAGATCGAAGACGTAAGTGCCCGCCGCTGTGCTCGCGCGCAGTAGCCAGACTAGAAACTCCATATCGACTAACGATACTCTTAACGGAGGCATTTCGCACCTCATAGAAAGAAAGAGGCCAACCTCCGTAGCCACAATGCGCGTGCATTCGGAGGTTCCACTGTTTCTTGCTCCCAACCGTGTACAGTTACTATAGGTAATGTTTTTTTGCAGGTATGTCAAGAGAGTTGTGCAGGAGTTATGCTGGATTTTTTGCGCAGCACCAGAGAGTGCCGCGAAGACGAACTTGTTCAACAAGACGCTCATGTCATAGAGAATGAGTTGTGCGGATACAAGGACGGCGAGGGTAAACCCGAGACCAGTTGTGCGCTGCAAAGCGCGACAGATATAAGTGTTCTTCTTGCTTGCTTCCGTTGGTGGTACTCGGGAGGAGGAAGCGAATGCCCGGCCCCTTTCCCTGGATTTCCCGTTACAGCGGCATCCTGCGCAGATGCGCTGAGGACTGCAGTTGCCGAGTATGGGTGTTGCCTGCAGAACCTGTTCGGCACAGAAGAATCCATAGAAGCAGTTACAGAGTAAGATCTGGCGTTTGCCACGCGTGCGCTGAACGTCTGATCCTATTGCGCATGCCCAGAGCATTGTGCTGCACCACGAAAAGGCGTGCGTATGCGCACGCGGAGTACGGAGCGCACAACGACGATGAGGTATAGCATGTGGGAAAACCATCCCTGCATGGCTGAATGTGTTTTTTGTTATCAGTGTTATGTTGTCTTCAATATATTGTAGGTATGTTGTACCGATGATACCACCTGGTACAGACGTGCCCAGTGGTTTTGAAATCGACGTCACAGATCCGATGCTGTATGATGCCTGCGGTGTCCGCCTCCCTACGATGTGCGAGAGCCAGAGTCGCACAGTCACATCTACTCCTGCTACTGGTGACACAGTCACATCTGCTGCTCCTTCCGGTAACACAGTCACATCTGCTGCTCCTCCCGGTGACACAGTCACATCTGCTGCTCCTCCCGGTGTCACAGTCACATCTGCTACTGCTCCCGGTGTCACAGTCACATCTGCTACTGCTCCCGGTCTTGCACTGCCACCATTGGTGAGTCTGGTTCCATAGCAGCCAACGTTGTCCATATATATTGGAGTGGAGAGAGAGTTTATGGCTGCTGCAGTTGAATGCTTGCCTGGAATACATTAGCTCTCTTAATTTAAGGCCATGATATGAGACAAAGTTGCATGCAAATGTATGGGCACGATAGACTGTGCAACAAAAGATGAAATAAAGCAATATGTTTGATTTGACGCTTCATACCCATGCAGTTGCAGGCAAGTTGTAGCCCTGTGATTGTACACCAACACAGGTTTGGCTTTGCAAAATTACCATAAAATTTCTTTTTCACGCAGACATGAAACTGACACTTTTTGAAATTCATTTAAATGTGTACATGGATCAGCATGCAAAGAGCCATACCAGCAATGTTGAAACCCAGCTGTTTGGAGGTAACTTGAGAGTCCATGGCCGTCCAACCATCTCCATTGACAGTTCCCCATCTCCCACTGAAGCACACCTGCAATACCCATCATTCTCTGAGTCTCGTCTCAGGTCACCATCATCACATTCAGCTGCATCAGCAAAACAACAAACATCGCGCTTTCACAGACATGCTTGTTGTTGTGTATATAGATTGACTCTTACACTTTTTGCTTGAACTGAAACATCTCTGCCATGAAATTATATGTTCTTGGTGAAATGTTTTCTGAAGCCACACTCCAAGATACTCAGTTCACGACCACCACACCTGACACCTTGTAGATACACTGGCATTGAGTTTGTTGCTAATCTCACATTAATATCTCTTGCTGGAGTAAAATGAAACCTATTTTACGTCAGAGGTAGGGACAACCTCTCTACAAAGGACAACATTTTTGTTCCCATAGTGCCCCTTGTTTGGAGGTTCCACTGTAATCAGTCACCACTATAGCTAAAAACCAAGTTCTGTCTCGGACGGGTAGTAATAAATTACAAACTTGAATTTTACAATGCTCCAAGTCACTCCATCGGAGGTGCATTGTTGTGTAGCTACACACACAGCTCTTTTATCCTTGGGAAAAAAGAGTTGTTTTGGGTGTAGTTGACTTGCTTGCTTTGCCTTCCCACCTCGCCTTTTTGTTGTCACATTATCACCGAGAGTGTCTGTTAGTGGATGCGGGTGCTCGACCAGCGGTCATCTGGTTAGCTATTCGTATGCACACGTATACTAACTCCGTCTCCTACCGGCTTTGGCTCTTGGCGCGGTGCAGCCCCTGTCAATTGTCCCGGCATGTCGTCAACATAAAAAAGCGGCGCCAGCTCGCATGCGTGCACGTGACTGCGCGTAGGCGCTGTGTGTGCCGCCGCATTATGAAGCGACAACACGCCTAAACCGCCTCATTATTCCCAACTTGCCAAATTTTATACGACCAAAAAGTATGCAACGAGTTGTCTTTATCGTCGTGCTAGCGTGTGCGGGCCAATGGGCAGTTGCCCAAGACTTTGACTGTAACACCGACGCCGGCCAGGATGGTTTCTTGGAGAACGGCGCTAGGACGGATCCCAACTGCTACAATCCAGTCCTCGGGCTAAAAAGAGACGATTCGATCCCAAATTTTGCTGAAATTGCAGTCGTAAGTGAAACTTTTTTTACGTACACAGTGATTCAAGACGTGATTCACTTCATCACAGGTATGCCAAGACAATTGCGCAGGGATAATGGTGGATTTCTTGCGGAGTACGGAAGAGTGCCGCAACAACATGACCGTGCGTGAAAATGCTGATTTCCTACAGAGCCAGCTTTGCGCCTACGAGGACGGCAGAACCGCAGCCACCAGTTGTGCGTTGGAAAGTGACTACAGCAAAATCGAGGGCGTTAGTTTGTCTTGCAACAGATGGTTTGGGTCAGCAATGACGACGTGCCCGGATCCTTTACAATTGCCAGGGTTTCCCTCGCCAGCACCGTGTGACGATGCGCTGAAGGCGGCTATTGAACAGTATGGTTGCTGCTACGAGAATTTGTTCGGCTCGGAAGAGTTCATCAGTGAAATAACCCAGTGAGTGACGTAGTAGCTCGTGCGAATGCTTTCGGCGAGCCTCGCATGCACTCTCGCGTTAGCATATCCATAGTGCACGAGGCCATTTGTATCTATCTTTGGCGTGCCTAGTAGCTAGCTATAGGCTGTAGTTCGAGAATAGCGGTGGTAACAAACACACAGACAACACTGTGAGCTAACACATGCATGTTTGCTGAAGGTTAACTAATCAGTTAGAGAGATATGTTATCATCGTGTGAGTGACATTCCCTTTAGCTGGGTATTTACTTTGTCTAGAGACCCTTTACTGTGCATGTGTGCTGAGCACTAATTGAGAGAACTGCTATACAAGTAGTCGCTGATCGCTTTACCACACAATACATAGCTGCCCAGACTATATAGGAGCGGCATTGGACGTGATGTGGTTGTGCTTGCTAAAAAGATTTTTTAAGTTCAATAATCCCCCTTTTCGCTCTTGCTTGACAATGGATAGCATACTTCGATCTGTCAGATTTGACCTATAGCTACTATCATGTTATATAGAATACCAATGGTTCAATGTGTTACTTCACTTCTATGTACCCTGGTCATAGTGTTTTATACCTCTTTAGGGAAGGCAGGGAAATTGCCGAAAGTCTTGGCATTACACTGCCTGATGATTTTCAAGTTGACCTGACAGATCCAGAGCTGTTTAGGGCCTGCAGTGTCTCTCTCCCCGACCAGTGTAGGAGCCAGCTCACTACTGACTCGGCCCCGGGTATGGTGGCCACACCACTGGTGGCACTCCTGTTTGCCATCGTAGCCAAACTCTTTGCTTAAATAGGAAGAGCCTTATATGCTCAAACTTCACTTAGAAGCAATCGTGCCCAAATTTTTAGGAGGATGCATGATGAAACTTTAGTATTATAGCAAGTTGTTAGTATAGTGCATGGTGTATGGATATTTTGTATTGGTTTATGTACTCACACGAAAGCCCAGTCACTGCGCTCAAGTGTGGGCACGCATCAGCTGAAATTGACCATACCCCTCTGATGGGGATGCCTGGCAATCTCAGTTACTTATACTATAATTGCCGAGCGCGTTAGCGTGAGGCAACTACTCCGGGTTGTAATCTCGCGATATGTGTGCGTACGTACGTGTCGTCACGCTTAAGAATGTCAATTAGTCACGCTTAGGATTGTCAACTTCCGTCATTCGTAGGAAGTAGCTTCCGCCGTGCGCGCAGATTCGTAGGAAGTCTGGCTTCGCGCGCAGTCAGTAGAGCACGCGCACAAGCGGCCTCAGTCGGAGTGTTTACGCATTTGCTGGCAGGCGCGAGGCAAAATATGAGCGTGCACATTCCTAATTATTATACAACCTGCTGCCTCCAGTCAGGTGTAGTACACACACTACCCAGTCAGGTACAACCTTTATGACATTATTATCTCACCCAATCTGGACTTTGTAAAAGCTACCAACATGATCAAAGCTCTTACCACCACATTCAAGTGTTAACTGACCACTTACAAGTAATGGTGGGTAATTTTATCAGAAACTCTTAACTCTCCCTTGGCACTTGGTCAAATTTCACATTATCAGTTCAGGAATGTGCACCTTTTGTTGCTGTCTCTAGGTATGTGCAAATCAACAACTATAAAATAAACTCACTTTTGATATGCCAGGATATTTGGGGTAGGTAACCATCTATGAACTTATGTCCTGTCTTTCCATAATTACATGTTCATTTCATTGCCCTTGTAACTTTAAGAGTATTGTAGCAACTTTTACCAGCAATTCGACATAAAATACCCAGCAAATTAGCGGTTTGGTCATTTTAATAATTTTGTGCATGGTGATAAAATTACGAAAATCATCCTCGTGACGTGAAATTCCTTTTATCCAGCCTCTGCCCTACACTCTCAGTGGTTTGGGAAATAACGTATCATGAGTTGTTGCAGTACCACACACAGTTGGCTAGATCTATAAGCTTACTACAACACTGCAATGTCTGGCATGTCATTATAAGGTGTTGTTCTCTAATTGGCGCCACCCACTGAGGCATAGCTTTTCTCTCTGAGGTGGTGTATAAGGGGAAACTTGCTACTGATTCCGCCCCATTGCTTAGAAAAAGAACTTAAAATTAAGCAGTCTTTGCATTGGTGTAGCACTCTTCTCACACAAAGGTTTTGTAGGTGTAGTGTGCGATGTGTAATAGCCCTTGTAGTCCAACTTCAAACAACCCTGTGCTAGAATATAGGCTGTGTTCTGAGGGCTGACTAAAACCAGTATTGGACAGGAAGTCCTTATCAGGACATCTACCGCTAGGCGTAGTGCAAATTGTCTGGCTTCCGAAGTTTACACAACAGTCATAGTGCACCATTGTGATTGGCTACAAATCATAACGTCAGGCGTCTCGGCGCGTTACAGGAAATCCCTGTTAACTATACCGGCCTCGGGCTACTCCCTCGTCCGGTGTAGTTCCTGTGCCGCCTCGCCGCCTATACGTTACATGAATGTGGATATGGTGGCATGAATAATACCATCTGGTACTTAATTCGCTTCACCTTTCTTATGGGATTCATCTAGATGATGTCATAATGCACTGTGGGAAGAGAGTCAAGTGCTATCTACACCCACATTTGGAGGATTATTGCATGGCCGTCATATTATTCATAGACTATGTTTAACATAAGGTTTGGGAATGACTAAGCAAAGATGTGATCTTTGCTCTGTCTAAGGGTATACCTTACACTAACTGTGTGGTAGTGAGAGTTGCTATCACGTTTGCTCTATATACTGGCTAAACCCCTTGCATAATACTATGGTGGTTACACCACACCTGCGTATATAGAGTGGTTAATATTACACTGAAGCATATTCAAAGATTAGGTAGCTTGGACGATCAGTTTCCACAGTTAGCTTAACATAACTGATGATTATTTCATTTTATGGCAGAAGAAACAATTAAATTCAGTTACCTATTTCTACCATGAGTTTTTTCATACACATCAAATTTTCATTAGTAAAGTTCACAGTACTCATGCCAGTAGACGGCACTGCTAGAGGGAGAGTCTTAGCTCTCTTGCGGACCACAACTGCTTCCGTCATTCTTTACACTGCTATCCAGTGTGGTCATGGACTCGTAAATTGTGGAAGGATTGGGGGAATAGCGGGAATCTCCTCCCCCTGAGGCCAACTTGATGCTCTTTGGATCCTCATATTCCTGTGGCTCATCTCCTACTATCTCTTCCTTGTCTTGAGGTGTTTTATGATTGCAAGCTCTGAAACAGAATGTTAGATACGACGTGGCAATGTTTATTGCCTAACACTTAGCAAGCTACTGACACATGCACCCAGAGCCTCCATAGGTCAATATAAGAATTTATATGGGGGCTTTAGCACTAGGCGTTATTATGTCTAATGGGGCCCATGGGTTTTTAAGTTACCTTATCTTCTTTTGAATGAAGCGATTTTTGGTGCAGAGAATGTAGACAGTAACAGCGATCAAAAGAAGAACGAAGCCTATCAAGGCCACCACAGCAATAGCAGTAGTGATTGCATGGGTGCTTTTGGACTCAGTACTGCTTTCATGGTGTTCACCACTGCTGCCACGGCAGTCAATCCAGACATCTCCGGAGTGACGATCTTCACTGGTGTCTCTGTGATAGGCACAGTCGGTGAGTCTGGTTTCAGTTCCATAGCAGCCAACGTTGTCCATGTATATTGGAGTGGAGAGGGAGTTTATGGCTGCTGCAGTTGAATGCTTGCCTGGAATAGATTAGCTCTCTTGGCCATGATACTTTTATTAGACCAAGTTGCATGCAAATACAAATGAATGGGTGTGATTAACAAAGAGTCATGAAATTCAATATTTTGGATTTGACGCTTCATCCAAACAGTTGCAGGCCGGTTCCACAGCCTTGTGATTGTACACCGGTTGGCTTTGCAAAATCATAAGATACCAAGTAGAGGTCACACAGACATGAAACTCACACTTTTATATAGACAAAGGTACATGGAGCAGCATGAAAAGATCCATACCAGCAATGTTGAAGCCCAGCTGTTTGCAGGTAACTTGAGAGTCCATGGCTGTCCAACCATCTCCATTGACGGTTCCCCATCTCCCACTGAAGCACACCTGCAATAGTCCATCATTCTCCGAGTCTCCTCCCACCAGTCTCAGGTCACCATCATCACATTCAGCTGCATCAGCAAAACAACAAACATCGTGCTTTTACAGACATGCTTCTTGTTGCATAATAGTATAGCTATAGATTTATCCACACCCTTACACTTCTTGCATTGAACTGCAACATCTCTGCCATGTATGTTCTTGGCGAGATGTTTTCTGAAGCCACACTCCAAGATACTCAGTTCACGACCACCACATCTGACACCTTGTAGATACACTGGCATTGAGTTTGTTGCTGATCTCACATCAATATCTCTGCCTGGAGGACATAAACATGAAACTCTGCTAATACCGTAATGAGTAGAATTCTTCCTAGTCTTACCAGTGGCCTCATATCCGAGGTCATTACAGACGACAGTGGACTCTGTCTGAGTCCATCCATCACCACTGATGGTCCCCCATCTCCTACTGAAGCAAATCTCAACCCTCCCCTCCACATCCGTGGCTCCATCCACCAGTCTCACTTGCCCATCAGTACAATTCGCTGCGGGTATATACAACAAATTGTTTACTCACCAATAAGGGAAAAGATTCCGTTGAAAAAGCTGCACATTTTCCAAGCTAATGTGATGTCCATTATGATTTCGCATTGGTCCATTTTTATGACTTCGTATTGACCCATTGTTCAGTTTGCAAACTGTTTGTTTATTGACCCATTGTTCAGTTTGCAAACTGTTTGTGAATGCAGTTAAAGGTATAGCTAGCTCAGATGTACCTGGCATGCATGCAACATTGAGATTCTGCTGGCATGTTGGTTGATATTTGTGGTCATTTCTACAGTCAGATATGCGAGACTCGTGACCAGAGCATTGTAGTGTAAGGTTGTGTGCTGGCATCTTCACATTTTGTCCATAGTCATAGCGGTAGGAACCTGTCCAAGGAGGGCAAATGTCAGTAGTACACCAAACTTTCAGCCTCTACATGCACCCTGATCTAAGGACACCCCGGAAGTTGATAAAGCACTTGTTTTCATTCCCCAAACCACAGTTCTTGCATACATAAAATGAAAAGCACTAAATTACAAACCCTCGGCAGAGACGTGCGCACTCGCTAGAGAAGGGTTCCATGTAAGCAAAGTTGAGGAAGACCGCCTATATATGTACACAGTGTTCTGTGAAAGGCTGCAGACAAGGTAAGCATGCTACCAAGTGAGGCACATCTTTCGCTGTGCATTTGCCATGTTTTAGCACAACTATAGGATTGTTAAACGTTCTCTGCAAAATTTTAGCCTATGTGAAAAGGAAATATGTCGCGCATGCGTGAACAGATTTCCGGCTATAGAAACGCGCACGCGGTAAGTAGACTCATGTGCTTACTGCTAATTGATGGGCTGGGCTATATTTTTACCGATGGGTTGCTGAGAGTCAGTAACAGTCTAGGTACACTGCTAAATAACATGCGAGAGTCGATACAGGCCCCCGCATGGTAACTTCTGGTTCCTGCAAGGTATGCAGAGCAAGCGCATCTGGCCCTGGACTAATTTGCATATTAGCTTGTTGACTTGGTTTTCACGCCATAACTTTCGAACGCAGTAGTATCAAGAGAAAATTCTACATAAGTTTCGACCTATACCCGACGCTGAATACCTGTGGAGCCGATTCATGGCTCGTGAAGTGAGCATGCATGATGTTGGTAACAGACAGCGCGCTGCGCATATATCCTGAGTCCTGAAGTCACAATTTTGACAAGTAGTCTGTCATTATATTATGTACTCACCCTTGGAATGTCCTAACTGAGTACATATAGTGTTCATATGCGCCTCTTGGTTGTTGCTGCTACACACGGGACCCCATCTCTTGTTCATACACGCCAAAACATAGCCTTCTCTCTCGTGAGAACCCATGTGAAGTTTTATATCACCATCATCACAGTTTGCTGTACATAAAACAGTTATCAAAGTAATGTAGCTTTTCTGGAAAACTGACTATAATATAGGTAATTGAATTAAACCTCTAAACTATCATGTGAGGGAAAGGGTCATTATTCTGCATCGAAAACACAGCAAGGTACTAAACATGCATTTCAATGAGTAGGTAAAATAAGTTGTAGCTGGTGATTACTTCACCCACTGGGTTGACATCTGACTCCAACACTGTGCTCATGACTGCAGTTGGAAAAGCTGTGACTGAAGTGGACGCAATCACCCAGCGAGTGCTCGGAACCGAGACACTTGATGTAATCCACAGCGGTTGGAGTCGTACGTGGTTGCACATCAGTATTATCATATGTGTGCGATGTCTGGTAGGACCCTATAATAAAGGAATATATACCCCACATACACTGCATTTGGCTGCTGCAATGAGAAACAGTGCCCATGTACAGAACTGAAGCTCATACCTTCCTCGTCGCTATGGCCAAGAGAACTGCACACGACTTTAGAGTGTGCATCGGTCCACTGTTGGTTGCACACAGTGCCCCATTGGGAGCGAGAGTTGCACATTTCCACTCTCCCTTCGTACTCCGTCCTACCACCAGTGAGTCTTGTTTCACCATGCCTGCACATGGCTGGATATGGAAGTGGACATTACAGTGAGAAATAGTTAACTGTGGACATCTAAGATGCAGTTTTTTTTAAAGTGTGCAGAAGGCCACACAATTGTAATAATATGGTCCCTATTCGAGCTTATGAAACTCAATATAACACAGACTATGGCCATAGAGCATGCACACGGAGCTATCCGTAGATGTACATGATGATAGGGGCACCTGTCTTTATGACATTGTGTAAAAATTAATGGCTTACGGCTTGAAGAGCATTCTAGGGCCGCAGGAGGTCCATTTCCTCCAGGGACGTGGTGACAGTCCATCAGTCTCGCCTCAGACCCAGCACAGTGGACATTGCTCATGACAGTTGAGATGTTTCCATGGACATTACGGAACTGAGAGTGCTCATAGTGACGATTGTTGTGTGAGTTGGTTGAAACGCCTGTGTTTCAATTCTTAATCCCTCTTTGTTATAGTTTTCAGTTGACTCACCCTTCCTTCCAAGTTGGTTGCATACAGCCTTTGAATTTTCCGTTGTCCACGAGTTGTTAGACACAGTTCCCCAGCGACCGTTTATCCACACTTGCAGTACACCTCTGTGGAAATCTGCGTTGAGCTTGTCGTAAAACAGCTTCACTTCCCCATCCTCAGGCTCATCTGAGTATGGAAGAACAGAGGGATACATTCACACACATGACTGTAATAAATTTTTTTTTATAGCTACTGCCATTATGCCACTACAGGCTATTATGCACCATTTTTGCAGGTAATACTCCAGTCATCGTAGTGATTCCGCACGTAGTCGTCACTGCGACAGTCTGTTACTCTGTATTCTGTGCCAGAGCAGTTCACATTGTTCATGTGTATTCTTCCGAAACCTGCCCGAACTGGGGGGTGGGGTGGGAAGTACCATAGCCATCTATAGGGGAAGAAACAGTAGATCAGAAGGTAAAGGCATTAAGATTGAACAACGTGCACTACAGCATTCCGTCAAAGCATATTTTGCATTCTCATGCGTCCATGCACCCAGGAGCACAGTGCATAATTACATTTAAAGTCTCAAGTCAAGCCCTTGCCTCTCA